TATTTAATATTTTATTTATTTTTTATTGGTTTTTTTTAAAATAAAAATATAAACAATAGAGAACTAACTTTTCTATAAATTAAGTTTTATTTTTAATATTTAATATATTTAACATATTTTTTAAATTAATATTTTTATTGTTAAAATATGACAGGTCTATTTATTTTTTTTTTGTGTTAAATACTGTAAAGATACTTTTAATAACTCAAACACATTTGATATTTCAAAATATTGTCTTCAAGAAAATGACAAGCAGAGTATGTGAATTGGAATATATTTAAAATTTGTACAAAGACTGTGAAGTTGAAATGTTTTTAAAAAATATAAAATTAAATAAACTAATAAATAAATATAGGTTTAATGTTTTTATTATGTAAACCAGCAAATTTTTATAACAATTGCAAATGTTTTCACCTGTGTTGAACAGGCATGGGCATCATCAGGCAAACTAATCACCAAATGCTGAAAACAAATGGGGAATTGCTGAATACATGTGCAGAGGGTATGTGACGTAAGACAAAAGAAATGGTGAGGGGGAGGATAGTAAAATTTATAGTTCAAAGAAAGACTTCCTGGCGGTGGCAAAGGATCAACATCACAAAACATGTGTTTGGCAGTCCCCCATTTGTTTTTTGCATTTGGTGATTAGTTTGCCTGATGATGCCCATTCAACACAGATGAAAACATTTGCAATTGTTATAAAAATTTATTGGTTCACAGGTTTAGTGTTTTTAATTCTAATTTAACCAGTTTTAAATGGCAGTTTTCTTTTTTTAAATACATATTTTTTTTCTGTAAGGTTATATGTTTTTTTAATACATGTCAAACTGAAAAATATACTTACATGAATGAACACAAAGCTAATACTACAATGGCCAAATAGTTGATACAATATGCAATGCAGATGTATCCAGATATCCATTGATGCTAATGTCAGAGAGTTTATCAGTTTTAATGTTAAAATTAAGACAGATTCCCAAATAAATAGAGGTTTTTGTGACAGGGATAGTTTTCAAAAGCTTTACTTTGTCTCATTATGGTACTGTAATGTATATATATATATATATAATGTACTGTAATATATATAACATATGTAAATCTCTCCTAATCTGTTTAAGGACTTTCTTATACTGTAAAATCTGTTATCAACTGTCTAGATGCTCCAATATATAAAAGATTGGAATGATCAAGCAAGTGGTATAGAAGAATAGCACAAATACCTGACTGTTCAAAAATTGTCCAAAAAAGATTTTCTATCAATGACTAAAATTCTCTGCGACTAATATAAGGAGCATTTGAAAGGATGTAATATTGTTCCAAGGCTATACTTGTACTCCTAACATTTCATTAAAGTTACTGTAGTCTTTTTTTTTTTGCAAGTAAAGGAAGGATGTAATTATACTTGCAAAAAAGAAAGACTACAATAACTTCAATGAAATGTTTGGAATAAAGTTATAATCTTAGACTTTACAGGTGCTATTGTTTCATCATATTTGGTAGAAAATGGGCAATAGAAACAAGAACTTTCTTTGGATGCAAACAAACAAACTTGTTATCAGTTCTGTTGAAAGTAGGGATGCCAGACATCCCAGTTTTCCAGCATTGTCTCAATATGGAACAGTTTATCTACATTGGAAAATTTTTTTAAAGATGACCCAATTTGGTCATTGAAAAAAAATTAGTCTGATTTGTATTTTAAAAAAATCAAATAAGAATGGTAGGCAATAGCTGCCATGTATGTTGCTACTATCTACTTAATGCTGAATATCAATCAGTTTTCATTACAATGACCTAATTTCTGGTTTGAACTCACAGCAAGCCTAATTACAAGTATTGTAACCTCATGCAGGAATAAGTCACTGATGTCAGAGCATAGGTGCAGAGTACTCTGTGGTCTGTAAATATTAATATGAAAAAGACAAAAATTCCAAACAGAATATATATTGTTTGTTATGTAAAATAGTAATTGTTATTCAACAATAACATAACCAGGGAGGGGTTCAGAAAAACTAGGTCTGCTCTTACCTTTTTATAATAATGAAAAGAAAGAAAAAATCAAATCAGGAAAAAACATGTGTCATCTAAACACTCTATGTTCTTTTTAATTTATTATCTATAATGTTAAAATATTTTACTTGCATCCAAAGATGAAGAAAATATTAATGTAATATTAATATTTTCTTTAAATCAATTTTCAATGTTAACATTATATCACTGTATTTGATATTTACAGTTAATGAGGATTACATATTTCCTTATTTTCATCCCTAAAAAAATTTCAAAACTATTCTAAAGTTAAATCATCATTTGGTGGTTTTATATGTGAAAATCAGTGGTATATTAAAATTTGGGACCACTAAGCACAGAAGATTGTGCTTAGTGTGACAATTCTACATAATTTTATACCATCATAAACTAATAACATCTAATTGTAGCTATAAGATTATTATAAGATTATTTATAGATTATGATATACAACAGCAATGATAAAACTTTATTTTATTTTATTTAATCAATTTTGAGACCTCTAGGTATGTGCCTCATGTACCTAGTGGGTAGTCTGGGACTGATCAAAATACATATTCATTCAATGGTATTTAATTACTCTTCCATTTATTTTTGCTGTAAGTTAATATATATATTATATATTCAAGCATTCCTTTCATCTAATTCATGAGAATAGTATTTACAATTACATAATAAACTTGTTTCATGTTAATGATTTTTGGTATTGATTTTTCAAAAGTGAACTTTATTGTATTTGTATCTATGTAAAGATCTGGCAAATAATGGCATCTCAGATAAACACAAATACACTCAAACTCAAATGGCTCTTTAAGATATAGAATGATACTACAGTATGATAAATTTTAACAAAATATAGTCTTATTTATTTAGCATTAACACCTTTTTAATGTTAAGATACTTCATTTTTGGATGCAAACTTGGGCAGAACATAACAGTTTAACAAGATATATTACACCAAAAGACAGATTTATAACAATTTATGTTAAACACTTTCATTATTTAGCTCAATAAATTTGATTTTTAATCTGTTAAAATTTATTGTATTGCACTTGCTTATATTGTTAAGGAATTGGAATGTGAACTCAAAATAAAAGGAAAACAATTTCAGTTTTTTGGCATTAAATTAATGATATTTTTAATATATCATAAAAACTAAAAAAGATTTATTAAAAATATTCTTTATTTAACAATAAAGAAATAACAGTTTTTTCTTCTTTTTTGAGTTACAATAATACTTGTCTTATTTTAGTCAGAATGTCTCTCATTAATTTCATCAGTATATATAATAAATGAAAACTCTATTAAATAGCCAATTATAAATCTGTAAGTAAAGATCAGATGGCAATCAGGGTAGAGTAACTGATAATGCATCCATACAGCAAACAAAAGTTGCAGGTCTGAATCTGAATTGATCTTTCCTTCCAAAATTTTCTGAATTATTTAACTTTTATTTAAATTATTTTAATTAATCTTTAATTATTAATCATAACACAAAATAGTAGTATTATCACCTATCTTTGGACCAAATTCCATAATTTCATTAATTAAAATTGACTTAATTCTAGTCTGAAAATTACCTGGCTTTTAAATGCGATTGGCCATCAAAGATGAGATGGAAAAAATTCAGAAAATGTTTTTAATCTTTTGCTTTATTTTTCTCATTGAATCATTTCTCTTTAAATTATATAATCTATTGCGAAATGGCTTTGTATGAAATTTATTATTTATAAAATAATAAATTTCATACAAAAAATTATTTAAAATATTTATAAAATATTTTAAATAATGATACTGTTTTGAAAACTTTTATTCATCTTAAATCTTGAAAAACATTATTGATTAATTTTTAATTGTCTTTTCTGCTTTCTACTGTACCATTCTGATATTAGTACATTTACAGATTTTATACATCAAAGCACGGGAGAACATATAAGAGGCACAGGTATGATATGAGATATACATTTTATTCAATAATTTAATTTACATTCAAACAATGAATTTATTTTTTAATAGAATGTGATCAGAAGGTTCTTAGTAAAAAGGAGTCGTCTGGAAGAGTTTATTCGCCTAATTATCCACTTCCTTATTATTCTAATACTGTATGTAAATATTTCATATATGGGCTTCAGGACCCGCAACATTTGGAACGAGTAACATTAGAATTTGAAAAATTTGAAATACCAATCATTAATCCATCAAGTAGTACTACCGTCAAAACAACTGCCGACGATCCGTTAAGTCATTTAAAGATTTTGTCAATCTCATTCTGCTTCTCTTATAATTTGTTTAATTTAAAATATTAGGGTGGATAAGTAAACAATGATAAAAATTTATATTATTCAAATTAATACTTTTATTTTGTATTTCTGAATAGTTATATATTTTAACAGGTGTCCAGATGGAAATTTAAAAGTTTATTTACAAGGACAAGAAGAAAGGCAAGCTCTTGATGAATTTGATCATGCATTTTGTGGACACTCTCTTCCACCAGTTTTAAAATCTGAAGGTCCTCGTTTGGCTCTTGTATTCAATAGTGGTTCCATCGCTGGTCCCGGTTTTAAGGCAACATATAGATTTGAAACTGGTAAGTAACTATTAATAAATTATACATGACATGCTTATATACATTAATAAAACAAATTTATTTATTTGTAGATTATAAAGTGCCAGGTACACCATCGCCAGATGGTAGATGCCATTTCACATATAATAGTGCAACTCAGAGAAAAGGTGAATTCAATTCTCCTAGATACCCTGCTAATTATCCTTCCAACACAACCTGTGAATATATTTTTCAAGGATCAAAAAATGAACAGGTGAAATTTGTCTTTAACTACTTCAGACTGAAACCAGAAATTACTGATGGGTGAGTCAAACAAGATAAATTTAATACCTTTAAATTATGTGAGATACTTTGTTAAGCAGAAACATTACTCTATTTATTACAATAAATTTTATTTTTTATATATATAAAAGGGTGTGTAATAATGATTGGTTGGAAATATATGAAGTATTTCCAAGTGGAAGAGAGAGTAAAATTGGCAGATATTGTGGGAAATCATCACCAGGTCCAGTATTTTCTGATGTTGGAGTTCATTCTATGAAAGTTGTTCTTTGCACTGATGGTGAAGATGTTGCAAGTGGATTTAGTGCCACATATAATTTTATAGATGAAATGAGTAAATTTGGAGGTATTGTTGTTCATAAATTTAAGTTTTCTTTCTTGTTTTAATTAAATGAATTATTTTACCAAGAAAAAATACAATGCCTAATTAAAGGAGTCAAATGTTTTATTGGACTAAGCATTTTTCAGGACACATCCATTCCATCATTATATCCTGAAACAGTTCTGCTCAAATTATAGTCCACAGACTAGTGCTGGTCTGCAGTTTATTGGACCATGATAAAATTGCAATTGGACCATGATAAAATTTCACTTAAAATTTTTAAATTTTATATGTTGTTTTAAAACATATCTTTAAAAGCCTTTTAGAAACATTATTATTTTATTACTTTCATTTTTATTTATTATTTAAACACTTACTGCCAGAGATGGATTAATGAACAAAATCAGCTTGGAAATTACTTGGAAACGGCCCACAAAATTTTTTTTTTTTCAAAATGATTAGAATCAAATTTTGTTATTGTATGTTTATTACTAATTCAATTTTAAACGTAAGGTGAGAAATTGCATTTGAACTTTGTTCTTTCTGTTTTATAACCATTTTTATTTAATGTCACAAAAATACTGGTTCATGAACACAAAGTTTGAAAAGCACTGCCCTAAAACATTAAACATCAGCATTATCGTGTTTTTTCTTGCATAATGTTTTCATGGAGTCAACATACTCTGAAACTAATTATTTTGTCGATATTATGCAATTAGTTTATAATATAGACAATTATGGCACAAATGGAAGTTTGGCACACAAGTGGAGCAAGTGGGCCAATTTCCATGAATGCCATAATTGCTAATTATAAATGAATTGTCATACAGTATTTTGTGGTTAGACTACACCTATAACACTATACTTATAAAAATCAATCACAAAATAGGTTTGTAAAATTTTTTAAGTTGAAATAATTGTAACATATGCATTCTTGTCAACTGTACAAAAACATTGCAAGATAAATTATTTGAAATTTAAATTTTATATTTTAATCTTTCTACTTTGATTAGTAATTTTCAATTTAAAAACATGTTTTTAAATTTTATAGACTGTGGTTATAATATAAGTGGAAAGGAAACTGGAGTCATTACAAGTCCTCGCTTTCCTGATAACTATCCTTCAACTAGACAAGTCTGTAATTGGTACGTTACCGTAAAGCCTAATCACAAAGTATTATTATTCTTTTTATATTTTCTCATCGAAGGCGATCCCATCGGTAAGCATATATATGCTTATTTTTAAAACATCTATCTTTCTTAATTTATATTATGTAACTGCTACATTGTTTTTAAAAGAAAGAGGATGTTCTGGTGCTGTTATGAGAATATGGAAAAACTTAAGCCAACCTCCAATAGAACTATGTGGAGAGAAAATAAATAATGACACTCAGGAAATTATATCAGCTTCAAGTATGATTAAAATATCGTAAGTAACTTATTATAAAAGTAAAATTTATTCAGAAAGAAATAGAACTAAAAATTAAATTTACTTTTTGTTGTCTTCTGTAAAATGTAAACTGTAGGTATATTATTGAAATTTTATACAAAATTTAAGTTTTAATGCATTAGAACTAATCTGTTTAAAAATGAATTAGCATTATTTTAAACATATTTAAATGTATTTTAGATTTGTGACTGCTGATAAGGCTGTTGGAACTGGTGGTTTCAAAGTCTCTTGGACTGAAATTAAAGAAGGTAAATAATAATAATAATCAATTATTAACTAATCTCAATGTGAAATTTTGAAAGTTATAGTAAGAAACTACTTTTCAGAGACAAACCTGATAAATCATTTCATTTCTAATATCCAAGTACTTTTGAGCCTTTCAAGCTCATTATTAAAGGTTGCAAGTTTCACTTTCAAATAAATTTCAGCAGAATTCAATGTTCTATGCACTTTAAATTTTTATTATATCTTTTGTTGTCTTTTTCTCAAAAATTTGAAACCATTACACAGATAAATTTTTCATGGCACCCTCTTCCTGATGTTTTCTTTTTATTTAAAATACTTCTTTTTTTCTTTGTTTTTTCCCTCATCTGATTATTCATTTCCACACTGTTGACAACACATTCCTGTCTCTGATCTTAATTACTTTTGAATCCTGATTTTTCTTCCAAATCCATATTCTTTCCACTATCCCAATATTTTCTGTCCCTTATTTCCTCCAGTATCATATCCCTCCAAATAATTTATCATTTTTGTCTAATACTGTCTTTGCTAAGGCTGTTGTCCTTACTCCTTTCTTACAGTCATCTAAATGTCCTTGAATCTCTTGTTGCTTTGATATATGTACTCTTCAACTTCTGTGCTGCATCTTGGTTTTTCTTTCTCATTCAGAATTCTTTTTAAGTACTGCCTTTTTTGATTTAAGATTTTGTAGATCTTGTGACTCCAGGAGTTCACGTAAGAGTGTCTTTTTCTCAAAAACACAATACTTGAAAGAAATACTACCCTTTCTAATTGCATTAGGAAAGTGCTTTTTTCAGATGGTCTCAGTCATATGGCTATATGTAACCACTACGTGTAGTGTCTTGTTATTTTTCTGTCATACATCATAATTTTTATAAAATATCCTGTAAGTGAATATTGAGAATTAATTCCTTTCTTTTCCAGTAGTATGGTTATTTACAATCTCTTCAGATAATCAGAAAACAAATTATCAAACAGGATTACAAAAGATTATAGAATTAGCAATTACATGAAAGAGTTTATCACATTAAAAGATTTGATTGAAAACAGACAGAAACCAATCAAAAGGAGTGCTTAAAATTTGTTTTTAATTTTTTTCACTTTTTAGTTCTCTAATAATTTTCCATAAATAAACAGAATATCATATTTAAGTTATCTCATTTTTTTAAGTTTTTTTAAATATGTTTATGTATTATATCATTTTTAAGCGATGTTTTATACAATTTCATTATACAGTATATTTATATGTAAATACTATCTACTCTCCCCATAAACATTTCTATTTTATTCTATTTTTCATAACCATTTNGATTCTGATGAAACCGTGTTGTTGTTATTAAGCTGTTTCTTTGCAGACACACTAAGGTGACATATATCAACACTTGGCAACTTATTGACTATTTATTCAGTAATAAAATTTTACTTAAAAATTAAAATCAGAAGAAATTTAACAGTTATAAACTGTGGCACCGCGAACATCTAGTCTGGTGTAGTACACCGATAGTGCAACTTGTTTATAGATGGCGCGTATAATTGAATTAAGTCGTATACCGAACAAAAGTCGTATACCGAGCGAAATTTGCTTCGTCTAAACAGGACGTAATACGAATTGGACGTATTCTAAAGCAGACGTATACCGAGGTTCCACTGTATATANATTTAAAGAAAAATTAACAATTGTTATATTAAAATAATATATAGGATATTCTGATTGTATATGCAAGATTTAACTAATGAGATTCTTACGTAATTTGGCTGTTGCTGAAAAGTCATTGTGAATTTTCTTAATTCTAAAATAAACAGAACTGTTTGTTAATGTTGTTTGCAAGCCACACAGAATCTTTTCTATGATATTCTTTTATTGTAGTAGATTAAGGTAAATATTAAACAGAACATCAAAATACACCTTAAGTTGCTGAGATAATTTATTTAAACGTAAACTAACGTTTTTAGCCTATTCAATTGGTCATCCTCAGATTAAACGAGAAAATTAGAACAGCGGTGTTCTAAAATAGAATATATAAATTCAAATGCAAAAAATAACGGAAGATAAGAATATAACAAATATATATAAATATAAAATAATTTATTTTCCTTAAATTTACGATTTATGTATCGTTGTCATAAAAATTTGTCTTTCCACTTTTTTCCCGAGACTACAAATATGCAAGTACAGAGTAACTGGTTTCGACTTAAGAAGTAGTTAAATAATTAAGCGATTAGGGAATTGGGGACATAAATAAAACCCTGACGAAAGAGGCGAAATTTTACTTAAAAGCTTAACCGACTCCAATCTCTAGCCGAGTACAGTATGGACTGATTTCTTTGAAATATTAGATGTAATAAAGACAGAAATTTTTCCATTTCAACGAGACTAACCGAAAAGTTGTAAATTTTGGAAATTTCCTTAATTTTGGAAAATGGTCTTAAAACGAATTAGTTAGAAAACAAATTACTATTAAGTTTAACAAATTTAGATTTTTACAGCTATGGTGAGAAACGTTTAAAATCTATCCGGCGACAAATCACGGACTGGTGAGATGGCTCCACTCCTCTACGAGTTTTCCGTGAATCCCGGATGGAAAAACGGGAACTAGGTTTTTCCCAGAGAGAATTCTGGGTATTGTTGCTTCTTCTTCTTGTCGGGTGATTGCTGCCATGAGCACGTGTAGCTCTCTTTCAAGTGTACTCGAGGATTGTTGTAAATAAATGTTGTTTTAGTTTAAAACGTGGTCGTGGACTTAATTAATTCACGTTTACAACCTTCTGATAAAGACAGTCTTTGTGGAGATGTAAATGGATGGAGAAAGACGGCCAGGTTACGTCTAACCGATGGCGGCCATCCATTACCTCCATCTACAACAACCATGTCGCTTTCTTTGAGGTATACTAGTGATGCGACAAAAGAGGCATTTGACATTGACCGGTATCGGCACCCTCGGAATTTGGCAGCCCGCGTGCATGCACCTACCAGGACCGTCTCTGATTCCATCCATTAGTCACTCGTAGGGAGCTATTTGACTAAGTGGATTGTTTTAAGATTTAAAAATTAAAGAATATTTTGTTATTTTTATGTAGGGGAAGGTAGTGCAAGACGGGGACGTCTGTTTATTCGTGATTAACGCGCTTTCATCTAGGTGTTATTTGGGGAACTAAATGTCAACCACAAGAGGGATCACGGGATGAGAGAACGTTCGAATCACTCTCTTTGTTTGGGAGTAAGACAGTTTTCCACGTTTCAGCAATACTTTATCTAATTTTACGCCCGCTACAAAGTTTCTACAAAGTAAGCATCATTGCGAACTTTTACATTACCTTTTAGATGATATTATGGTATTCGAAGTTAATTTCTTTAAGACAGAAATTGTTTAGTTTTGAAATAAAGTTGACCCGTGTTTGCAGTCAGTATGAAAAGCGCACGTTGGGGCACATCTTGCCCAAGGTTGGCCACGAATTCTGCCGCTGGCTAGAGGCACTGCAATATAGTGCAGCGAACTATTTTTTTATAGTTTTAAATTCGTTGTCGTTGATAATTCTATATNGCCAATAAATTAATTTTAAATAAAGTATAGAATAATAAAGCGTGCAATCATTAATATTAATTTTTTAATATTATAAGCTACAAAATTAATCGTTAAATTAAACTTTTCACGCAACAAGACTACACATTTAAGTCAAGCCTTTGTCTTAAAATTAATTACGATATATTAATTTAAAATACACAATTTTATTGCCTAAAAAGTTAGGATATAAGTCGATTAAGTTTTCAAATTTTACCATAATTTTCGGATTAGATAATTGTCTTTTTAATGTCGAATGGAAAACGCTCGACTTCGCATTCCATTTAACACGTTTCTCTACTTCCTCTGTTCTCCTCTTCCATTTATTTTAGTTCGCGTATCTTCTGAATAGTAATATTATAATAATGTTTGACCAAAAACTGAGCATCTCATTTTTATTACTGGCTTTTATAGCAGATAGACTTATAAATGTCCGCTGTCATCCGTCTGTCTGTGTCCTTCCTTAATCTCGAGAACAGATGAAAGTCGAGACCAGATATGGAAAGCTAAGGGATAAGAGGGCCCAATTAACTTTATGAAAACTTCTGGATTGGACCGGAAGTCATTTTATTTCAATTCAAAAATTTTCTCCAAAACAGAGTTGGAGATGACTGGTATGACACTATTGTTAACAGGAAAAGTATGATGTACAGGGGCAAGACACTAGTAAATTGAGAGCATTATAACAAAAAACTTGCAGTCCTGGCCTGCATTGTGACAATTTCACAATAAATAATTGCTCATAATGTTCTATTTTTTTAAATAAAAAATTAATTACATTAAGTAAAATNTTTTTCCCCAAAAAAAAATATCGTCTGCTTACAAAATAGCGAAACTGAGCATGCGCGAAGTGACAGTATCGTCTGGTAAAGTAAATACGAGTAAGTTCAAACTTTTATATTTATTTATAGATAATAAGAATGAATTTATAATATATAAGAAAATAAGAATAAATTTATCCGGTATGATAAATGGGCACACTGTTCTTGTGCCAATATTGAAGAAAATGACAGTTAAACCATTTTAATTTCTCCTTTTTGTATATAAAAATAATATCCCCACCTTACCCCACGGGTGGGGCAAGATGGTGCATTTACATATAATTCTAAAATATTAAATTTTTTTGTTTTTAAAAACGTTTTTCAAAAATTAAATTTTGTATTATACAGAGTGTATCAGAATGACGTTTTAAAAATTTGAACCTTTTGATATAAGGAACCTATAGCCCGAAATTTGAACTAAAATGTCTATAGCGGTAGGAAATGCTTGACCGCCTTTACTTTGGTAGCTACCCTTCCGTTCATTGATGTCATATTATTGCTGCGGATGGAAGACTGTAAACACACAACTACAGTGGTCTAACTGAGCCTGTGTACAGGACGTTGTGTACTTAGTGCTTGTCGTCCTTCAGGTCACCCCTTGCATTCACTGGCACTGTGCTGTAAACACACAACTAGTCAACGTGAGTCCCTTGTGTGCCTGTAGGAACAGTTCATGAGCTTAGGTAGCGCATCTTTATAGCATTTAATACCATCACAGGGGAGCGTGGCATCTTACAGAGAGTCGGACAAAACATGGTTCGTCGTTGCACATTATGTAACGAAGTT